AAATGTGTAATACTTTATCCATCTCTACCTCGACAGTAGTAACACCAACTCCTATCTTCATCGGTGCAACAGAGCTGAAAGCGACCCAGGATTTCTTTACCTGTGCTATATATTTTGGCAGCAAGATAGGCAACAGATTGTCAAAGCCTAACAAAATCTTTGGTAGATAATGAAAAAGGTTCAATTTAAAAAGCCATCGTGCTGACTACCAGTCTTTATGATACCGAATACGGGATCATATATATATATATATATATATATATATATATATATATATATATATAATATATGAAACAAACAAAGTCTTTTAAACATTTTTTATGTTTATTCAGGCTTATAGTAAAATATTTAAGTTAATACTGTTTATAATAAATCAGACCTTTACGCATTTCTCGGACATTCAGGCTATTTTTATCTATAAAAAGAACATTTAAACATAAAAATGTCTTAAAATAATTGTCGAACTTTTGTTCATTTCATAATATGTGACGTCATTTGTTTAAATTTGGATACGCATCGAGCAGATATGAATGTACAAGAGAAAATCATGGAGAATTGTAGTTTAAAAACAGTAAAATCGACCATGTTAACCGAAACGCTCCTCTGCGGCTCAATTGCTAAAGCACGTCAGGCTATATGACGGTTCCGTATAGGATACAGATTCAATTCCTGTCGGAGGACGCATATTTTCTATGAAAATTTCTCGGACATTCAGACCGGTAAATGTTGTTAATACTGTTTATTATAAACTGAGCATTTACTTAAATATTTGTATCTATAAAAAGAACGTATAAACATAACAAATGTCTTCATATATATTAAGAAATGGACAAGGTCCGACAATTTATTTATTAAAGACATTTTTATGTTTAACGTTGTTATTTATAGATACAAGTATTTAAGCAAATGCTCTGTTTATGATAAACAGTATTAAATAACATTTACCGGCCTGAATGTCCGAGAAAATTTCATAGAAAATATTCGTTTTTTGACAGGATTCGAACCTGCATCCTATACGGAACCGTCATTTAAGCTGACGTGCCTTATTTTCATATGTGTATGACTCAGTAGATTACCATAGAACTATTTTTAGCAACAGCTAAAATGGAAACTCGAAGAGAAAACACTGATACAATCGATATGTTTAAGTTATACAATACTTCAAACAAAAGGTTAGGAAGGAAACTAACATCAACATTGGAAAGAGCTATAGCAACTACTGGACTTGAAAAGCCTATTTCACTGAAAAATTGTTTTAAGACAAAAAAAGTAGCACTGGTTGCTCGGTCAGTAAATCCGGATGTTTCCTTTTAAGGAAATGGCTACTATTACCATTATCTACAGCAGTTGTAGTAGAACTAGTGTCTCTTTCATTGGCCTTATCATCCATCAGCACGCTTGAAACAAATATAGAACGCTCTCCAAAACATTCGTTCATTAAGCCACACGACGACGACGACGACAAAAATACAATCGAAATTCTTGACACGCACCGATAACATGCCAACAACATAATTTGGTCTGTGAATCTTTCTCTTTATTCTTTTTTCTGCAGACACATTTCGTGTATGTCAGTTTATCTAAAAGATAACAATCAAGATGTTTCCCTTCCGAGATATTCGGTTTGTGAGTCCGCATACCACTGCCGTTACTTTGGCGAGAAAACCATTTGAACAAAAATAATCGACACATACCACAAATATACCACCGTCGCATGACATTTCAGCAGTCGCAGGCATCAGTACAAAGATAGATTTTATGCGTGGTTGGCACATCATTCGCAATGCATATCGTGGAGGTTGCGCTGAAGGAGGTCCCATTGCCTCTCAAAACGTAACTTTTCTACGTAGAATATATCTTTAAATAAGATGAGTTTGATATTCGGGCCCGATTTTCTGATATAACCTCCTATTGTTTTAAGTCGTTTTCCTTCATTCAGTCCCAGTTCTTTGTTGAGGAACACCAGACATGGATTCATTTTTAGAAGTTTCAAGGAGAATAGCGCCCTGTCGATTGGGTTCAAGAATACGCAGAGTGAATCCTCGTGTCGAGAGGTAAAACCTTTAAGGTAATGGCCACCTGTTTGTCTAACTTTTTTATACCAGACCTATATATACCTTTCTGACTATCGTGCAAATCAAATCAATCTCTACCATTTTAATTCTCGTGCAAACCAAGTCTATGGCTAGCTTTCTACTGTTTATCAAAACGATAAAATTAGGCATTAATTAACATGGAAAATGTTTATATACCGTAAAACAAAGCAGAAATAAATCAAGGAGTATAATCTTCACGATGTCAGTCCAGAAAAAAATTCAAGCTTTTAATATTAGTTTAAAATAACTCGCCTAGGGTAACTGTATAATCATCATCATTATCATGTCGTGCCAATTACAAGGGCCCTCATGATTATACATTGCCTTTCCTTGTCTTCACATATTTTCTGGATGTAGATTTTGAGTGAGTGACTAATCCTAATACGTCCATGTTTTGGCGTCGATAATAAGATGTCACTGATAAATTCATCCTTACTTCTACAAGAATACCCCACCAAATTTGTTCTTCATTAACGAATGACTTGTCGTGGATTTAATAAGACATTCCCGGTAGCACAAATGAACTAGACAAGACACCTTAAATAAAGAACTCAAATTTAGTCAAATGAGGTCCGTTGGAGTCAGTCGAGGAGAATTCTAATGACGTCACTGCCAGTAGCATAAACTAGGAGCGAGTTATAACACTTGCGAGATGGACTATGACTAGATATCTCGAAGGCCTTCGAAAGAGTTTGGCACGCTGGCTTTCTCCGTAAGATCAAGGGCTGCAGTGTTACGGGATAAATATTTGGCTTAATCCAATCGTTCCTAACAAAATGTTTAATGAAGATCTTTTTAGAACGAGCTCACTTCCAGATCTTTTCATACTAACGTGGTGATCTCCCAGGGATCTATCATGGGATCTACGCTGTTTCTGATCTTAATGATTTCCCCGATGTTATCAGTTCCCAATTAATTATTCATGTAGATGACGCAAACATTTTCTCCTGTCTTAAAAGGAAATCTGTCAGTTCTGACAAAGTAAACCTGGCAACTGCTTAAAAAAAACTCAAATCAGTGGTTAAATGAGCTAAGAAATTGCTTGTAGATTTTAGCGCCTCCAAAACAAAACTCCTTTCATTTAATCATCATAGAGTACGTTTTCTGACCGCCATCACCGTGGTTGAAAATGAACTGCAAGAGAGCAACACACTACGCCTACTTGACCTCACGTTTCTCACTAACATGAAGTGGAATGACTATATCGAATCAATGGTTTCGTCTACTGCAAAGAAAGTTGGGTCACTGTGTTGTGCCAGAAAATTTTTCTTCTCAGAATCCAATTTGCACATTTATAAATCTTCCATTCGTACATGCATTGGATACTGTTGCAATATCTGGTCTGGTGCTCCTGATGTATATTCCAAGATTCTTGACAAAATCCAAAGAAGGGTCTAATGTCATGGATCCTTACCAGGCATCTTGATTTCAGTCGCTTTCTCACCGACCTGATGTGGCTTCCTTTATTCTTTTCTACAAATATTTTCAACTGTTCTGATAAGCTTTTTTTTCCTGATCCTCTACTACATGAATTTAAGCTTTGTAATTAGGTCCAACCGTTTTACAATAACTAAATGGAACCATTACTTCTACTTTAAGTTTCTTTTCTCGCACTTCCCACCTGTGGAACTCCCTTCCGATTTCTTGCTTCCTTGATAACAATTTCCAGAAATTTAAATGCGACGTCAATCGCCACCTTTTGTCATACTTGAACCCTGTTCCTTTTTGTATTTTCCTCATCCCCATTCTCAGTCTTCCCATTCTCTTTCACGTTCACACCCTGTAACCCCCCTGAGCTTTAGTGGCATTACTGCATTCTTGTCGGGTACTACGTTTTTGTCGGGTGCTGTTTCCAGGATAGATTCAATACAGCACATAGGGTCATTGAACTCTTCTTGGGACCTAGCACACTTATGTAAAAAAAAAAAATAAAAAATAAAAAATAAAAAAAATAAAACAAGCATTCCTTTTAGTTTTAAAACACTTTTCAAAGTACTCTTTCTGGATTACGATCAGCTACCCTGTCGTATGTTTTTTCATCTTGCCTACGGTTTGAAATCTCCATTTTAATGGCGATTTCAGATTTTGAGAAAGTTACAAGAAGATGACATACCTGAGAAGTAAGATATTTTGCAAAAACTCTGAAATGTTATTGCAAATAGTTATTGACGACTCGGTACCGACTGAGTAACCCTAATGAAGAGTTTCTATGCGTACAGTAAGATTCTATCTGACTGATTACTAAGTTAATCAAAAGCTGTGGAACCGGTTCTCGCGATATTTAAAATGGTTGGATGCTGTAAATGTGCAGACCTTGTTTATGCAACCTGAGTACTTCAGGAAATAGGTTCTTCACATAACTATTGTGTTGGGGTTAGGATTGTAATTTTTTTTGGTTCTTGTTTTGGAGGCAGTTGGCACTGAAAATCTTCCGGGAGCGGGGTCTTTTCCACTTTTGGTTATAAGTGGAGCTATGTTTACAGTGGGCGGACAAGGCGATGGTCCATATGACACATTACACTGGGTACCACTTTAAACAGATTGATGTAATTTATATCCCAAATAGCGTACTAGAATATCATTTACGGAGTGTCTGAGGTTTGAACTAGGCTGACTGCCCGTAGATTTTAATCTTTTTTAAAAAGAAATAGTGTGTTGGGAATGCATAAATTCTGTTATACGAATGAAGTGGCCATTGTCATTGTATTTTTTTATTTTATAGTTTTCTCTTCCAACAAATATCAACGAGCTACAACACAAACATTTCGGGAATCTACCATCAGGATGCTGTGAATACCATGGACTGAACATGTGAGCAGCGATGAAGTTTTAGCGAAAATGAAAACAAAAGGACATTTATACAATTGCGAGCCGTTATCCTCTACACCAACCGCACATCCAAATTTACAGCACCTGGTATTTCGAAACGTTCGCCTTTCTAGGTATTGACCAGGCTCGACGTTGCTTAACTTCGGCGATCGTACGAGAGCCGGTTTTTCAACGCTATATGGCCGTAAGCATAGGAAATTGAATGAAATCGTCGTCAGAAACTTAAAATTTAATACTTGTTTTTTTTTTTTTTTTTTTGGTAGAGAGAGTTTATTTTTTTTCAGACTGAAACGTTTTCACCCCCCCCCTATTATTAGTTTTTAATTTAACTTTCTTATTATTAATTTATATTAATGAACAGCGTGCAAAAAGGACTACATTTCCAATCGAGCATAAACCAATTGCCAGGTTTTTACGGCCTGCCAACAACGCCTTTCTAAGCGTCAGCGTTTCTGCCTACACTGAAATTAAAATACTTTACCCGAAAAGGAGAAAATCATAAGACAGAGTAAATCTTATAAAATAAAAAGATAATAATAATTGAAAATAATCCATCTGAATAGTACCAATAAAAAATTGGAGTAAACTATGACATTTTAGAAACCGATATTCGAGTCTCAAAAAATAATGCAATTAGTTTATGTTTCAAAAAATACATTTTAAAATTAATTTTTTTCTGTTTAATTGGCTGGAGGATCTTTTATTTTTATTTAAATTGTGTGAAGTAAAAAAATGTAATCGTGTGGGTTAACAACAATGTATAATGGATCAGGTAATACAGAGGAAAAAAATGGAAGAAAAATTCGAGCGAAGTTGACCTGCTATGCAGATAAAATATTTGTTTATTATTTACAGAAGCCTGATGACGGTGTTTGAACCAAAATGAAAAAAAGTATTTTCAATTCTAATTTTCAAGTTAAACAGGCAAGGCAATTTCACATGGAAGATTGGCTTCCCACAGTCTTCATAGAATTCATTTATGCAATTTGACCTTGTGTCAGACTAGATAAAACTGGATAAATATCAAGAGTAAGTACGTAGATAAAGAAAGAAAGAAAGAAAGAAAGAAGCAGGATGGCAGAAAGAAAGAAAGAAGTTGGAAAGCAGAAAGAAAGTGATGAGAGCGAAGATAAAATGTATGCGTGTGTGTTGTGTGTGTGTACCTGATAGAGAAAGTTAAGTAAGAGGTAAGAAGGAGAGAGTGAGAGGAGGGGGAGGAGAAGAAGAAGAAGAAGAAGAAGAAGAAGAAGAAGAAGAAGAAGAACAACAACAACAACAACAACAACAAAGTTTTAAATCGAAAGAATGAAATAAATTCACATAAAAGAATGGAAGATTGGCACCACATGGTCTTTCAAAACTTCACTTCTGTATTTTACCTTGTAAATATAAGTAAATATGAGTAAACATCGAGAGTAAGTAAAGAATAAAGAAAGAAAGAAAGTAAGAACGAAATAAAGAAAGAATTGTTAAGAGAGAAGACAAAAGTGTGAGTAAGTTCATACATATACTTGAGAAAAAGAAGGGGGATGAGAGAGAGAGAGAGAGAGAGAGAGAGAGAGAGATTGAATTCGAATGAATAAAATAAAGAAAAAAAGAAAGGAAAGAGAGTGAAAAATAAAGGACAAAGAAAGAATGCAACAAATCATAAAAAAGGTAAAGAAAAAAAGGAAAAAGAAAAGAAAGAAACAAACAAATGAAAAGTAATGAGAAGAAAGAGGGAAGAAAGGAAAATATTTGAATATTTTTTGAGCTGACGTCGCCTCTTTTTTCTTCAGTTCTATTTTTGGACAAGGTCGTCCAACGTTTCCTCTTTCGGTCACTCAACGGCGCTCCTTCAATGTTCTGTTTACGTGTAGTGAACTGTAAACCACTTTCAAGCATATTCGTTGTTTTCAGCAGTTCACACATTCTTTTTTAATAACTTAAAATAATGTTAATGTTTTGTTGTTTTTTTTTGGTAATATATTGGGATCTTTTCTATTAAATCACCCCCAAAATAAAAAGTATTTATATTTACTAAAATTCACTCAAAATTCTTCCAAAGCGAGGCCCTTTCATGGCACTCCGGTTAGGCTGACCTTTGCGATTTTCCCCAAATGTATGCGACTCGGGTGCGCTAGTTCTAAGTGTTGGGTCCGGGTTCGTGCTCACCCTAATAAACAGATTTTTTCATTTTTTTAACTGTAAAAAAAAAAAAATCCTTGTAAATGTGAATAACTCCCTGAATTTGGTATTTTTTTTAATTCTGTGGGTTGATGTTGATGTGAGGCAAGCTAACAAATTTTGATTTGAAATTTATAATTTCAAAAGAGTCCCAAAAATTTAATAAAATAAACGAACTTTGATTTAAAATTTATAATTTCATGGAGTGAATAAATATTTGCGATAAGTAACTTTACATTATTTGGGATGAATTAACAAAAAAGATACATATATTTTTTTTAAATTGGGTATCATCTAAAAATAAGATAAAATATTTTTTCAGGATTGTGGTTTTACGCCAGACTGATCAATTTTATTAATCACCTTTGGATAATAGAAAAAAGAAAAACTATAATTTCAACTGATTTTCAAAGATCGTTCAATTGTCCCCTTAATACATTTTTCTGAACTACTTAAATAGACTGGTCCACTTGTTAAAAGATAGTTACCAATTTAAAAATATATATATGTAGGTTACCATTCATTAAACCTTACTCAAGACGTGACCTTTGTCAAAGTCGAAAAATATTGAATTTTTTTATTGATTTAGAGGAGAAGCCCTCTCTATAATATCAATGCATTCTTAAATCACCACCCCCTGATATTTTACAGAGTTATCTGGAACTAGTTTTTCTACATACAAAAAAGACATTTTTTTTGCCAAAATATTTCTTTTAAATAAATAACAGATATGTACATTTTTAATTAAAGAACAAAATTCACATAAATTGATATAAGTGCATATCTACTTATTTTTCAATTAAGATAAATAATTATTCCCCTCGCCATGTCTGTGCACGTATTTCCGAGAAAATTCCCCTGCCGTCTTTAAGTTTTAATAAGGTTCTTAAAATTCAGAAAAAATATACATATATCAATGATAAGTTTCAAACTTGACACTTGTAAATAACAAGACTTAGGAATTGACTTTACACTATATCGATATTATGAAAAGAACACCCTTCAAAATCGATAAAAATTAATATTCTTCGATTTTGATAAATGTCTTGACTTACGGAAAATCTAAAGTATGTTAATTAACAGCAATTATTGCCCGCAAAATAAATTCTCTATTTTTTTACGAGTGAACCAATCTATTTAAGTAATATCCATTTTTCATATTTGTCCCCCAACCAAAATTGGAGATTAAAGGCCTTATGAGTTCAGTAAAGATAGATTATAAAATCCCATTGATCAGACGAGATTCTCACTGAACGTCGGTTTTAAAATAAAACTTTCGTCTTTACAAGTTAAGCTTTGTCTTTGTCCCGAACATGAGAAACGCTAAAGAATTTTACATACGCAAGACACGAGTTTATTTCCCGAGATTCGGTATCTGAGAAAAACTCACGTGGTTTTCCCGTCGGTCCGAAGATATTGACTCATTTTAGCGACAACAGATAAGTAACGTCTGCTCCCCACTATGCCTCTTTCTCTTGGGAGATTTTTTTTTCCCCTTATATTTTGCCCTTTATAGATTTTGCTGGATAGGAAGGACTGTTTTGTCGAATATCGGATTGGTTATATCTTAACACTCCTCTTTACTCACGTACACATGCATACATGAACACGCAAGCACACGCATGTATACGCATGCGCACAAACAAATATAAGCAAACACGAGAGGGCATCCAATCAAAGAGTGAAATAAAAATTTAGTTTATATTTAATTTGAATAAAGTGTTATCTCATTTTTCAACTGTTTTTACATATTTAAAATGTCTTCCTTTCTCACATTTCCCAGTACTAGGTCCAATAGGTCTCCCCATACTTAAGTCTTAGGGGCATAGAATCAAGGAGTTGGCCTCGGGCATCAACAAACATCACCAAACCTCAGTATGTCACTGCTTTAAAACAAGTTTGATGTAAGACGATCGAAAAGAAATGTTTTTTTTAATGTTTGGGGCTTACTTTTCTTGTTTGCATACGAAAGATGGCAATCCAATGATTCTACATATTGTCCAAATGTTTATTATCGAGTGATTTCAACCATTCTTCCGGGCATCAGGCGTAAATTGTGAATATTGTTCTTTTTTATTTAAAATTCTGTTAAAGTGAACGTTTACTATTTGTAAGTTATGACGACATCACGCACAAGGCGATATATATAAATATTAATGTCTGTAGCTTGCGTGGCACTGCTATTTCAAATAGTTTTTAGCAAATACTCGTAAAAGTACGCATACTTTATAACACTGTGAAAAGAAAAAAAGGCTTGTGGACTTCAAAACCTTAACATAGAACCAAGAAACTTCAAACTAAGTATCCTCTCCTTCAGTTTAGAAACTGAGGCTTAAAATGTGTTTAACAACTGACAGATGCATTTAGGTAGTAATAAACTTTCTTTATATACTGCCCTTATGCAGCTTATTGTTATATAATGCACAAACGCTCTCAATGGCATCTATCTGTTGAGTAACCTAAGGAGAGTGTCTGTTCAAGCATGCGCAGTAAGGTCATACCTGATTGGTTGTCACATTATATTAAGATCGTACACCTCAAGCGAGGCTTTTCTGACATTTTCAAAATTGCTGAATACTTTCCAGGCAAAACTAATATATATATATATATATATATATATATATATATAGTCATCAACAGACAGACTGTATATATATATATATATATATATATATATATAGTCATCAACAGACAGACTGTATATATATATATATATATATATATATATATATATATATATATATATATATATATATGTGTGTGTGTGTGTATATATATATATATATATATATATATATATATATATATATATATATATATATATATATATATATATATATATTTTCAACAACAATAAATATTGTGTTTCGCCAATAAAATGTGCTATGCTACTTCTGGAAGATAACGTTTTTAAGACATAAATTCTTTATATTAATGTGCTTGGTATCAAAATAGACTATAATTCAATGAAATAAATCTATTCATAAATTTGTACCTATTCTGAGTTTCAAGGAATCACATC